GGCAGCTTTTCCTGCTCCCTTTGCCACGTTAGTTCGAGATTACGTTTCCTACGCTGCCGTTCTCCGGAGATGCCGGAGCCCAGCCCGAGCCCGCGGGGTCCCCAGCACCACAGGGCGACGCCGGCGCGGTGCGGAGCCCCGGTCCTCAGCCTGGAGGAGGCTACCGCGGGGCTGTCTCTCCCCATCCCCTTCCCAGTAGCTTCTTTCACAGCCTAAAGCCAACTGTGAGTTCACTTTGATGGCAGTAGAATACTGAATATGAAAAGAGCATGCGGTTGAGCTCCCAGCGAGGCACTGGAGTATAGCCTTGCACCAGAGTTCCAGCACCCCGTGTCAAGGCAGGCAAGCTCTAAAACCTGCAGCTTCTCCATCCTCTTCTTATTCCAGCAATTCTTACCAGCCTCTGCCCAGCTCCAGGCAAAAAGCTTGGTCACCTCTGCCCAGTTCTCAGCAACGTTTTCTCTGACAATGTAGCATAAGAGACAGTGGGAGTTAATTGTGTGTGACACTGTGACAAAATCTCCAGTCCCAGTTGTGCTTCAACGTTGAGACCGTCTAATCCCTTCCCTCCACACTGTCAGTCACTAACAACTTCCAGATGATGTTTGAACAATCAAATCTACACCTGTTTGGGTTAATTTCATGCTACTGTCGTTGTTGTTGCAGGACATTTGATGGGGAAAAAGAGCACTGGAGATTTTCCTTACGTTTATGAAGAAGAAAGCAAGACACCATTTTCAGCACTACCTGAAAACATCAAGCAGCTGGAAGACTATCTGCAGTGGGAAGGAATCTCAAAATATTTGCTACGGCTGCTGGAAGGGAATGAAAATAAAAGTACTCACTTTTTAAAAGGAGGGCTTCCCTGGTATACCAGGAACACCTGGGAGACAGATGACAATAACAGCTGGAAAGATGTAAGTAAGATAATACCTGTAAAAACACCCCATGTATTCAAATTTTGTTTTACAGTAACGTATGAGCTTCCTCTGATTTGTGGATTGTCCAGAAAAGTAGCAGAAATGCATCTTGTGCACTGGCCATTCAGTAAAGTAGGACTCTACCCTTGATGACAGATTGTCACTCATAGGTTGTATGTTTTATGAGTTGAGTTGCTGTTGGGCACAAACTCAGCCAGCACTGGGCACATTTTAGTGTCTAGATTCCCTTCAAGTGGCTCGGTCGTTCCATTCTTTTCTTTTCTAGCACTTCATGCTTTCTGTGCACAATTCCTTTGGGAGACACTGAAACAGAGTAAAAAGATTAGTAAGCCCCCTTGAAGATGTTTTTTTCTCCCTGTATTCTACCATAATATGACGTAATCAATATTTCTGGGCTAACTTCAGCCTAGTCTCCCTCCGGAAATCCCGGTGCAGCAAAGTCAGTAAGTACTCGACTTGAATATGGGTAAAAATTTCCCCATTAAAGGAAGCCATGATTAAGTCTCTTACACCACTGATAGGAATGCTGTCCATAGGTTTCTTTCTGGCTATGACTTTATAACGGTGATGCTTACAGTAATTGAGATTAATACTATCTAAAAAAATAAACTAGCATGGTCCTGTTTAGCTCAAACCAGGACAAATGGTTTGGATTGGAATGGACCTTAAAGATCATCGAGTCCTAACCCCCTCATCTCATCCTCACCTCTGCAGCATGTATAGCTTTGTACTCAAAATCACAAAAACAAACTCCATTTTGCTATGTAAAGAGGGAAATATTTTTATTTTTACTTCTAAAAGCATCTGGTTATAAATCATACTTACAAAGGACGGAAGTTGCCTCAGGTAAGTTGAATCATAGCCCTGTGTGTGTGCTTTTACCCTAAATTAATATCCATGCTCCTGTGGTCAGACATTGAACATACACACGGTGAGATTATTGCCTTAAATATCCAGATTTCTACAATGATTAGTGAAAAAAAAAACCAAACATGTCTTTCATTTGACTAAGATATGTGACCATTTGCAGAACATCGTTTTGCCATAGAACCTTTGATTTCCAGCATTCAGCTGTTATTTTGAAAGTAGTATGTAAGCTGTGCTCTCCTCCTGTTGGACACAGATACCTGGTTAAATGCAGCCTAGGCAGGACTCGATGGATTCTGTTTCCTTTGGCTTCAGAAAGTATAAACCCAGCACCTGGAATTTAATTTACGTACATTTTTTGAGATCTGCCTTCTCGATGAAGAAGTCTTGATGATTAAATGCGTTTTATTTTTTTTTGAGGGTTGTGATATTTTCCCAAACATTTAAATAATTGTGGTTGTTATAAATTAACTAGGCCTCCTTTCTTTAAAAATAAAGGTGTAATTCTGGTATACGTATGAAATTCAGTCATACATGTACACAGGGATGCAAGAGCATGAATGACCTTTGGATTTTGATTCCATAGATTTTTCTGCCTATGAGGGGTTCCGTGTTGCACAAACTTTGGTTAGACAGCACCTTCGTTTAAGGTGCTGCTGTAGCCCCACTAACGAAAGTGCCCATGTGCAGCAGTGGTGACTGTGGCCACCTGCCTCGGGGGAGGATGGCCAGGTAGAATAAACCAAGGATGGTGGTACAGTGCTTCTGAGACGTTTGTACGCGGCATTCAGTGCTTTTTCCCGCCACGCTGTGTTTGTGGGAGCCAGACAGCACATCGACAGCGGGCTGCTCTTCACTGGGAAGAGGCCTCTTGGGCTGAGGTGTTGAAACGTGACCAAAAAAAGGCAGATTGCAGAGACGCTGGCCAGCGAGGAGCGTGTGTGTCTGCAACCCTGCGCTCCCCTCTGCTGAAGACAGATGTATCGGGAGGAAATGTACTATGAGGACGTTGTTTCATGGTCTCTTTCAAATTTAGCTGATTTAGTTTAAAATTTGAATTTTAAATTTAACTTCAGAAATCCCCAAAGGCTGCAGAAGTAAATACAGATGTGTGCTTCAGGTACCTCCCTTTGTGGTCTTGCTTATTAATTTGAATTCATTCAGTGCTCACACTGTGCTGTATGTTTCTCAGAAATAATGAGAAAAAAACCTTCTAAACGAGACACCTGGAGTAGGAGAAGTTCTGTAATATAGAGATAGTCAAGAAAGCTAAAGAGATGAGCATAATAGTTCTGGGAATTTGGTTTAGGGTGGTGCACCTCAGCTATTTTCTTCTGTTTTCAGTTAGTGCCAGGCAAATTAAGATCTTGCCTGCTCTTTTTTCTGTGGATAAATTACAGTTAAAGTAGTTCAAGTTCAGAGGGGAAGTCTCTCCTGTAAGTTGGCGTAAGTGTAAAAGTAAGTTGGAAAATAAGCTTTAAATTGTTTCTATGACTTGGCTTTCTAGCACTAATGAGACACTATATAAATGAGATGGCAGGCAGAGTTATTTGGGAGAATGACTTTCCTCAGACTTTGGCAGTTGGTTATTATGCTAACCAAGACAAATGAGGTCTGGTGTGGAGAGATTATTGGGAATGTGTTTGTTATGTGAATACACAGAGCAGATATATATATTAGCCTTATTAACTTAGTGAATTACTTTTTCAGGACTGGTCTATAAATAATGTTTTTCTGTTTTTATTAGATGATGGACTATCTGCTTCAAGTTGTGAATATGAAAGAGGGCACCCCGAGCTGAAAGAAGGTCTCTAAATCATGAAGAAATGGAATACTTCCCGTAAGAGACTATATTTCAAAAGCACTTGATTGTATCAGATAATCAACAAAGTCTCTTTTCTGTAAACAAGATTTCCTTTGTGTAAAATATCTAAATACACATATTCTTACTTGTTTCAGCAATGACTAAACTCTACTTCATATCCAAGGCTGCATTTTCTCACCCGAGTGGCTTTGAGATATATATATAGATATAACTGTCACGGAAGGGTCTTCCAATTAATTCTATGACTTACCTATCTAATCAGTTCATCTCTTAGTGAAACTCCCTGACAGTTTAACAGTCACAATAAACAGTACTGATAAAAAGGCTGAGTTTATACTCTCACTCGAGTTAATAAAGCGGAAAGCGGCTCGCCGCAGCTCGCGGGGAAGAAACGACAGGGTGAGTCCTTCTCTGCCG